AACCAGTTTCGAAATTCATGCTGATCCGATGCCATGGCTGAAGTCTTGGTATACAACTATCATAACAGTATCATTCTATAACAACCTACAACTGTCCATATCAATATAACGCTTCTCACATAATGGTAATTTCTTCTATCTGGTAAACAGGACGTACTATTGTACAACTAGCCGAGATTTAGAGATCACAGGCTAGCTAGTTATAACTAGCAACATAGTCGGAATTGAAATATTCCAATGAATTATCAACTGAACGACAGCCAGATGCAGTAAATTCGATGCTATACGCCGCGTTTTCAAACTTGTTTTACCCGTCTTATGTACTGACTTTTAGCTCAATTCTAGTGAACCCTGAGAATGTCATAAGTCTAAGCAGGAAAACACAACGCCCGATATGTGAGAAGAAACGACTACAGTTCGAAAGTACGCTTATACCTACTTATTTTGATCCGGTACTCGGGCACAGAATAGGCATGCTCATGCTCAAGCGAAATAAAAGTTTCCCGTAATGTGGCCAATTAGGCAACCATCGATTTCAAACACTGTCTCTCCGTAAGAGTAGTCTCACCGCTCTAAGTAAAAACGTGAGAAAGACGGGTCTTTCATAGCAGTAAGAATGTGTTTTATTGGGAATGAATCCATCCTGGTATTGGCCTGGAAAAGACATTTAGAGATAAAAAATGTATCACCACTAAAATCACCAGTATCATCAGAACCACGACACTTACGAACAGTACTAATATTTCAAATAGATCTTCACTTTTTTGTTCTGCTTAGCTTAAGTCAAGGAAGCCATGATGTATCCACATGATATCACAAGAAGAAGCAGAGGGTGGCACAAACCGGAATAACTATCTGAGAGAAGGGTCGTTATTAACGCGGTTGGCGAAAATCTAATTTACAATATCAATTCAATCGTTACTTGTACAAGTACATTGCTTAGTTTAATGCGATCCTAAACTGATCGGAACACAAAGACAAAGCCATAGATAATCAACATAAGATAAAGAATATAAGAACTGACCCTTCCAGGACAAAACGATTATACAGAAAATAATATGTTGAATAAGACGGAAATGAGACGTTGAACCGTACTGTAGTATTACAGCCATGACATATCAAACACTAGCGTTGACAGGCTCTGCATATCCTGACTGTACAGGTTACAGATATCAGTGATATTCGTAGAGGATGAGACGTATGCCTTGCAGCTGTGCTTTGTAAACATTTAAATCAGCTCGCAAGGGCAAGGGATGGTTTAGTAACTTCGTGAAACTCCATATGGTGGAATTAAGCATTTACTAGTGATATAGGATCGGATGTAAATTACCACAAATTTCACGAAGCAAAAACAAAAACGATCAATGCGGAATTATCAACTCTCAAGAATACATAGGTTTAAGACGCATTATTTCAAAAAAAAACCCAAAACAAAAACGGAAGATAAAAATATGAGAACTTTTCACAGAACAGAGCTGAAATTCACACATACGTGCCATTTCCTCTACTATTTTTTTAACAAAAGATGCAGTTAGTCTAACGATCGAAGGAAAGCGTTAAGGCAACAAATTTTTAAGTCATTTGGTCCTCCGAGGATTTTTACGTGAAGAGTTGTCAACTTCTCTATTCATTAGATTAACAGTTGGTATGAATTTCAGATTAGGAGGTATAGCTTATTCAGTCAGTACGGAGGGATAATTCGATCTGTGTCCATCTGAAGCAAAATGAAAGATAAATGCTGCTTGGTGAGAAGAAAGCAAAGAAAACGCACCACAGCGGCCCTTCAGCCGTGGACGCCGATTTCAAAAAATAGACCGATGCAGGTCCCATCAGCATCGACAGAATCCACATCAAACCGCAGAATATAATGAAGCAGTAGTCGAACAAATAACAACCTATGATGGAAAACAACTGAAAGTCGATATTGCAATGGTCAACAACCTTTTTCGACTGTCTGTGAGACTCCATAGTATCACAACGGGTGCGTTAAAAAACTATTACAACAAAACTTAAATTACCATTAACTTACCATATCCCGTTTTTTCAACCGAGGATGGCTAGAAGCATTAGACGACAATGTTAAGATTGCTGAGCGAGAAAATGGCCCTGAAAATTGCTTATCATGTCAACAAACTATTAGAGTGGCATCCTGCATTAATGTACTGCATTATCCACATGATTTCACATGCTTGCAGTGGAACAGATGCCTATATGAACCTACACTGGCCTGAATCCGATTCAACAAATTCATATCCTTGTAATTCAGCACTGCGCATAAGTCATGGAAGGTATGACAACCGTTTGTTACCACATAATTCAGGCAAAGGTGTAGGGCATACTTCGGCATACTTTGCACGTAAACATAAAACGTATAGCAATGCAATTTAAAAGTTACAACACTATACAATATAACCATACATTTGATTCATCGGATTTCACCCTGACAGAAAACATTCAAGTCTAGTTACTACAACACTTGCTTGGGTGTCAGTACTCGTAAGCAAAGTAGTTTTACAGGAAAGAATGGATAAATTCAGAGCAACGGGGCAACACTCCCGTGCTACCACACCCTCTTAGCATTATGGCACTTAGGCCAACTAATTATGGACATTTCATTTCCTTTTCATTAGAAGAATAAAGGAATATAAAAAATAAATGATAAAGAGAAATTCTGCAATAGATGTGATGTTACGATTCATCCCACTACAATAGCATTCCTCAACATAGAATAAACACAATGCACTGTCAAAGTTGCGTTTATGAACAAAAAAATTTAGTTTTCACGAAACTGCGCTACCATGAAGTCGCGAGATCTCTAGACGGAACAGGGGGACAATAAGACTA